AAGAATATGGCAACCATAAAAACCAAAATAAATAAATCCCAGCCTTTCTGCCACTCCTGGGAATAAGAAGGGGGACCTGCAATAGGAAAAACGGGCTGTAAAACACACAAGCACCTCCAAAAGCTCATTCATTGGAAATAAGAACAACTACTTTTTCTAGAATTTGACATATTCTACTTTACCATAAATTACCTGGACACAGTGTCATGAGTTTAAGGTTGATTAAACCTGCAACCCTTATATGTGCTGAGATTACTTCATTTTCACATTTTCACATTTTCATGTTCCGATCCATCTTTTTTTCCTACACAAACATCAAACATCAGTAAGTGATCCACATCAATGAGAAAGAAAAGTGCCACAAAGATATCAGAGTCAATAACAATAAAAATAATAGTTGTATTGATTGTGAGCCATCAACTTAAATGCCACAGCAGTTTGTAAAAATAATCACAAGACTACATGTGTAGTTTACAATGGCACAAAAGGGAAGAGACCTCTCTTACCTCACTCATTTGATCAAGAAAAACATGACTTGTCATCTTTCTCTCTAGAACATACACAAAGTGAGCAAATGAAAGGAGTTAAGAATGTAAAGGCACACATACCTGGTGAGCTCGATGACACAGCAAAATTGTCCATGCCAACACCAATCCTAGAAGCCCCACCTCGATCAGGCTGCTTGCATTCTAGAATTGCTGCTGGATCATCACTGCCATCTTCACTTGGACTGGGACTCAGCTCGAAAGTAACGATGTTTGTCGAGATAAATGCTCCTTTCTTCATGAATGACAAATATCATTGGTGTTATTCAGACTAGGAAGGACCATCTCCATTATAAAGCCACACTAATAAAGAAAAGAGCATAAGTGAAAGCAATGGAAAACATGAGAGCAATACCAAGCAAGAAAAGAACAAGAGAAGGAAGCAAGAATGGATGTTAGAGTTCTATACTTGAATTTTACCATTGGTGCTGCCAAGGTTTCACTGCCACCAAGGCCAACAAGCCCAATTTCTGTCTAGCTGCTCGCCTAAAGAGATCGCAGGATTTTGCAACTTCTACCACATTCTGTTCATCATTTGGTTTTACTGTTACTTTGAAAGATTGAATCAGCAACTCACCACAACTGAGAATAGTTTGAACCAGCTACATTCTGGCACATAAGAAAATTGGTATGCTATTCACATGGAATCACGTCAAGGAGTGAGCAACTAAAACTAAGCTTTTCACCAAGGCAAGAACAAATAAAAAATGAAATAAAATTACCAGTCCTCCCCCCTGGGTCATGTTTGCAAGTGAATCCAAGCGTTTCCTTGCTGGCCTGGCATACTCACAAGAAGAGGACAACAGAAGGCCAAGCAGATAAATGCTAATTGCTGACCCACTGCATTGGTCAGTGCCGGGTGCTTCCTGGCCTGAGTGGCATGACACAAGATCAGATCACCCGAAAGAACACAAAACCTGAGGAGTTACCTGCTAGTTTCCAGAGCTTTCTCATGGAACCCAAGGAGAGCCTCTTCCCGCAATAGTCCACTTTCTTTTTTATTGAAATGACCGAGGAAACAAACAGCCTGTCAAACACACTTGAGGAGAGTTACTTACCTCCTAAACTTGATCAGCTGCTGATGGTGAACGTACCACCTGGCTCTCTTCAATCTTGGCATATGCAACTCACTGTCCTTAGGAAATAAAAAGGTTCTGCAGGATGCTCGTCAATGCTCTAGTATGGAGCGTTGAGCTTGTTCACCACATGCAAACCAGCCAGTTCTTGCCTCTCTAGGAAGATCCTTTTGACAGCAGAATAGTATGCAATGGACAGCTCAATCCAGGGCATTGGAATTTGAAGACATCGCAGCCAATTTTTGCATCTACAAGAACAAACAATGGAGGCTGAAGTGGAATCCAGAAAATCTTACCTTCCATATACCAACTTATAGCATGGCAGGAGAGTCCCACAGCCAAGTAGAGAGAGAGAGAGAGACAGGGAGAAAGCTTGCAGCTCACAATCTGCCCTAAAAATTTCCTTGATTTGGAGCATCATTAAAATCACATTGAAGCGTTGCCACCCCTTTGGCACTTGATCTATGCTGTCTATTTGAAGTTTTTGAATTTGAACCGTTAGATTATGAGCATATTCACAAATAATATTCTAAAAATGGAATAAAAGACTCCAGATTCGATATACCAATAGCACTTTTAAATAAGGGAGTATTAGCAAAAGTCCCAGCTACGCTGGGAGGATTGTGTTTATTTCTGATGTTTTAGTAATTTCAAAGAGTTGTAATTGTAATTGTAATTTTTAACATAATCATTTTGATAATATACATAGTTAAACATTTTTATATTTAAATATATTTATATTTAAAATCCCTTCTACAATTGGCTTTATCAGCAACACATATCATAAAGAAATAACTATAACTCATAACATTATATTACATTTAAAATTCTGTTTGTTGAGTGAATTTTTGGATCTTCTATAAATGGAATTGCTCAATGTGGGATCATATGGCCAGATGAGTCATTTAGAGATTAAGGTTTGGTAAATAATTTTTTCTTTTATTTAAAATCTATATAATTGATAAAAAAAAATGTTTCATTCAGCTCTAAAATTTTTCCTCTTAATAAAATAAGTGTTACTTAATTACACTAAAATATAATGATATTAAAAATAAATATTTAAAATTCATTTAAACTACACACATCTAAAATATAAACATTGTTATAGAGTTTAGTTTTTAGATTGAAAGTTTTGGAATTGTATGATACTAAGTGAAAGATGTTACCTTTATGTGTTATATTTTATTTTAATAACTTTTAATATTTTATAATTATTTTATTATATTTTAATTATTTTATTATAAAAATTATATTTTATTTTACACTGGTAGCATCATGTACCTCATCTTGTACACATCATGAAAAAACACCTTGAAATTTAAAAAAACACTAACATAATAACAGTAATAGGGTAAGCTTTTTAAGATTGGAGCCATTGTCTTATTACTATCTTTCTTTTGATATGTAGAATACCAAGACATAAAGTGTGCTGGATAAGACAGTTAGAGGTAATTACTTCTTGTTTAACACTAACAAAGCATTGTGTGATCATGCAGGTCTTTTACGATAGAATTGTTATAGTGATATGGAATAAAGGGTGGAAGTAAGCATTAATTAGGAACAATTGTAGATTGGAATTGATGTACAGAATAGATTTAATAAATATAATTTTTGTTACATATAAATATGTGAATTAATAAAGAATTTTAAATATTAAACTTATAATGTTATCACTAATGTATAGTTTTAATACTGTATTATGATATTATCACTAAAAATATCATTACTGTAATATAAATATTATAAAATATATATAGTTTAATAGTATAATTTGAATTTTAGTACATAAACTAAATTTGTTTTCTAAAACTACACGTCTATGATATAGATCATACCAGATATAACATGTCATATAGAGCAAAGTACAAAATAATTAACACTTTTGTTGCCACCATAGGCATCTATATAAATGTATAATCTTTTAAAGCTTTAGCTTCTTCCTTTCACAGAATATTAAGTTTTTGGATTTTCACTCATGCTGCCAAATGAAGATCTGGTCTGAAACTTCTAATATTATAATAAATTTGTCCATGTATTTTAAAATAATAGCCACCTACTGCAATCTCTTCGATGTTTGCACCCATTGATGCAAATGCTAATGCACTATTATAATTTCGTATTAAATATTTAAAATTTCCTTGCTGTGGTGTTTCTTCCAGCAGTTTATGGATGAATTGAGGAAAAGGATGTGAATTTCTAATTGATATTCTCCCATCATAACAACAGTTGAAAACACTTTCCATCATAAAAAAAAGGGCCTTACAATATATGCATTGTTTTTCCATCTTACCAAGATAATGTTGCTCACATTTTCCATTTTCATTCTCTGACATTAAACCCATGTATTTCTTCCGTCTCACTGCCCTACAAGCAGTAGTTGTAGGAATACAGGAAATCATGTGACAGAAATTGCCAGTTGACATAACATCTCCAATTTCACATATTCTGCAAGCATTGTTTTTGCCCATATTAGTTTCCAAACAAATCTCCATGTTAGTGGTAAAGGTATGAGTTCTTGATTTTGAGTAGCATTTGCTACAATTACATCCCCTTCTAAAATGGCATCCACAGTTTTCCGCTTTCTTTTGCGGCCCATTTCCAGCTAGTTATTTCAATTTGTATAATAGGCTAGTAGATTTCAGCAAAGTAGAATAGCTTTGGTAGGTGTTAGTTCTGTTTAGATCATCATGCAACAATGCTGTTTCTTATTGATAAGTTTATTTTGGTTTTTTTTTCTGTTTTGTATTCAAGCAAACATAGCAAATAGCACAATAGAATAGAGATTCTTGTATATGCAGGTCACTCTTCTGAACTGTTTTCTGCCCGCATGTTTCCTTTTGAATGTTTTAAGCGTTTTTAGGATCGTCATCTGGAACGACATATAGATATTTTGTTTTTTACCTAAAACCTTTACGAGAGAGAGAAAAACACAATAAAATCAAACACGGAAATCATTTCTATGCCCTGAGTTAATGTACAGATATCATGTACTGAATCAAACCAAGCTCATGGCTTCAAAATTGTGTCTATAAACACGTACATACACAACAGTTTATTTGATGCTATCTTATTCTTTCAGAAATGGCTTTTTTAAAAACAGTTCATGGCTTTGTATGTAAGAAAGTAGAGTAGGCTGCCATGTAGAGCTCCAATCCTTGTTCTCAACCACCTCAGCTGCCATGTACTTTGCTGTTGTGATATCTCCTAAAGGTGCTGATCACCACTTTGTTGCGCATGTTTATCTTGGAAAGAATGTTGTCGAGCTTTAGATCCTGGACCAATCTTCTCGCAAATATGCTATATTTAAAAGACCAAATAATTATGGAATTAAGAAAGGAAGGCAATATTTCCACCAACGAATGTAACCACTCAAGGAAAAATGCCCGTGCCCTGTCCAAAAGGAGACTCGGACAACACCACAAAGTCGGCAAACTTTCCTTGCGTCAGCGACCCAACCAAATCCTCCAATGCTATATTTTTGTAATGGAGGCAAAATGCAGTCATCTGCGTCAATGCGCACAATCCATGGTTTCTTCAGACTCCTCTTTGCTCGGTTTGGCCTTTACTACGGCCTTTTGGACGTCCTGTGGTTTCCTCCTGTGATGTTTTTCTTCCTGGCGTTAGAGATTAACTGAGGATCAAACGAAACAAACCTCGCCATGTAAGATTGCACTGCCTGAGCAAAGCCAGGCTTGTACGAGAAGAGCAGCCTACGGAAGAGCTTCCCATCGATGGAGGCTTCTAGCGTGTATCCGTAGTTGAATACATCACTTACTCTAGCCTCGAACATCTTCTTGCCTAGCGGCTGAACGTGAGCTTGAAACTCTGTAGCATGAGTTTGACAGGGAAAAATTGGAGAGGTCCAAGGTTTTCCGCAGATACCTCCGAGAGATGAAACCAAGCTCTTGTCCGCATCCCGTTGCTTGTCTAGCACGAATGGCATGGCACGATACTCTTGCCGCCTTCTCTTAAGTTCCTTACACATGGATAGCTTTGGTTCTGATGGATCTTTCTCCCTCAGCATCTCTTCACAGAAAAACGCCAACCATATTGTCAAGAATGGCAGCAATGTCAATAAAAGAAGAAGCCAACCTGTGTCGAGGAAATACATGTCATCCAGAGCTTCAAGCTCTTTGTTACATCCCCCATAGAAGAATAATATGCCTCGCTCTGCGTTCACGGAATCTCCTGCAAGGGAGAAACGCGGAGAAGGCCCGGGACCAGAGGGATTCAAAGTCGCCCAAACACCATTCTCTACAAAATACGTAAAAGCCCCATGAGAGACCAACAGGAAACAAATCTACCTACAAGCGCACGTACAGAAGTCGAGAGTATGGACGTCATTGAATAGCTTGCGATCATCGGAGAATCCTCCAAACACGACAAGATACTTTCCATGGCTGATTGTTGTGTGCCCGGCTCTTGGCATCAGCTCGGCACCAGTCGTCTTTACCTCCCGCCATGCCATTGTTTCTGGAAACGCAAATGAATTCGCAAGTTTAAAACCAGCACAATGTATGTACCTGTGTCCAGAATATGAATGTCGTTTAGATAGGCATTACCACCGTCCTCGCCACCCATGACAATGAAACAGTTCTTATAGGAAGAGCAGGTATGGCTATCCCGAGGAATAGGTGAGACTCCAGTGATAGGAATCTTCTTCCAGACAAAAGTATCTACAGGAAAAAAAAAAGTTTAGAAGAAAACAAGGAAAGATAACAGGATATTACTCGCGTTCAAAACATGGAGGTCGTTGTAGTACTCCTCCTCTAAGGGATCGCTGGATTTCCCACATCCCCCAAACACGAACAGGTTGTCACCGATGAGAGATGCGCTATGTCCTTCTTTCGGAGCAGGAACATCACCAAAAACGTCGGGTTTCCCCCAGGTGTTGGTAGCTGCATCGGATGATAAGAACAAGAAAAAAAATCAATAGAACTCGGAGCTTACCAGTATCCAAAACAAAGAGATCGTTTGGCGGGTTGCTTCCATCGGTCCCACCAAACACATAGAGCTTAGACCCGACGGCCATGGAGCTGTGGCTGTCCCGAGGAGAAGGGTGCGTTCCTTTCATCACAGGCTTGCTCCAGGTGTACGTCCCTGCGCGATCCCACCAAAAACATGATCAAAACCATATTTTCCGGAAAACCCAGAAGAGGAAACTTATACCAATGTCGAAGACATGAACATCGTTGGTCTGGCACTCGTCCCGGCCGCAGCCACCGAAAATGTAGATGAGATTCCTGACCGCATTGCAGGTGTGGCCCCATTTGCACCCCGGCAGCTGCTGCTGGAGCTGATCGCTGGATCGACGAAGTGCTCACTTCATCTTTACCCTAAAATACAAGTGTAAACGCTGCAAAATAGAAATGCCTCTCAATGCATTAAAAACTTAAAACTGAAGAACAAGGAAGCGAACCGTGGACGAAAATTTCAATTTTTTCTCTTGGTTCCAGCCTCGAGCACCTGGAACAAACAGGAATTTTAAGCCTCGAAAGAGAATAGCTAAGAGCAAGAGAGTGAAAACCTTGATTCTAGTCGTGGTTCCAGCCTTGAGAACCTGGAACAAACAGGGACTTGAGAGATTCGAAAAAAGAATAGCGACGAGCAAGAGAGTGAAGAACCTTGATTCTAGTCGTCGATGACAACGTGAATCCCCTCGTTGTCCGAGACGTTGTCCCTGTCGTGAGCTCCATCCACCATAGCCTCTTCACCTTTCACTCCCAATCCTCGTCACATTTCCGAGCAGAGCACGTCGATCTACCGAATGCACCTGCGCAGGCGGATGCCGGCGGATTTGTTCCCTGCATAAGTCTGGAAGGCGTCGAGCCTGTTCTTGCTGATCATCGAGCACAACTATGGTGACACAGAGAAAGCCGTGAGCCTCTCAAACCTTTGCAAACGGAGAAACAAACACAACCTTGTTGTAATAGGCTGGGACTTTCAGCCGCTTAAGATCGTTATCCAGTGCCCTTCCCAGGACTTCTTCCGGAGCTGTCCAAAAATGAACGCGTTAGAGTTTTTTCTAGTGTCTAAATCAAAGGAACTCACTTAAAGGTGTTGGATAAGGAACAAATGTAGGTTGCGGCTTTTGGTAGGAGGTTTTTGGTCCCTCGCCAGGCTCAACGCCGCCATTGCTGCGATTGGCTGGAATATCTTGGTCATCCTGGAACATCTCAAGTTAGAATCGCAGGGACGACGATAGGGGGGTCGAGACTCTTTTACCAGATGATATTCTGCGTTGAGTACTTTTTCCATAAGTGCGACTCGTTTCTTCACGAACTCAATAATTCTCCTGTTGAAGAACACTTTGGCGTCGGTTAAATGATTGTCATCATGGCCATTAACCACGGTATCCTGAGCTTTTGAACTCGAGAATGAACCAACTGGTGGCAGCTTCAGTTCTTCACGTACAGCTGACTCTAGCCTTCTAAATCATTCCATGGTTCTTTGAATGGTCCACCAGGAAAGTATGATCCGAAATCTAGACCTCAACACAGAGAGAGAGAGAGAGAGAGAGAGAGAGAGAGTACCTTCCCGCTAACAATGATCGACGCTCTCTCCTCGTGGTCACGCGCCCTAAAAGACATTTGAAATATTTTATGGTCCCAAAATTTACATTGTTTAATTTCAGGTGTTAGATTTTGGCATATGCCCAGAATAAGTGTCCCCAGTATATGCTATTATTATACCAGCTCTTTAGAACTTAACTCCATAAAAAGATGGTAGCTAAGATAAATACTAGGGCATAAGCCATGGGTTTTGTCCCTCTGTGAACGCTTTGTCTATAAAGGGACCATGAACTAGGAATGGAAGTTTTCATTAAGGACATCAAAGCAGCGGAGACCTATGTGGGCACTGTTCAAGAAAATCTATATTGGAAAGCAATCGATGTTGGCTCGTACCTTGGGGAGAAGCTCTACCACGTTCACTGCAAAGATTCCAGCAAGCAGTCTTAGTTCTTCGTCCTCCCAGAGATTGCCTTGTAGAACTGTCCGAATCCGTCTGTGATTATAATGCAAAATTTGCAATCAGGTAGGCTCGAGTATCTGCACAACCACCATGAGATCACTGAAAGACACAAGCAAAGGGGAAGTGCATTGGCAGGATTATCTTGAACATGGCATGAAACTCTGCCAGTGCATCTGGGAGCCGGATGAATCGTATGACGCTCTCAGCAGGGTCTACCAGCATGCAGCACGATTCGTGCTCAGCCACTGCACCACACAAGGCTCAACTTTACGAAGTACTGCCAGTACCAAAGGAACAAAGCTCCAAGATCTGATTCATGCCCAGCAGATGGCATCAAGTTGCCCGACTTGATCTTCCGTCTAGGCACTATGTTTTTCACGGATAATGCATACGAGAGCTGTGACATCTATGTGGAGATCAAAGACGACCTCTCCAAGCTTGAAGAGGCACACGGCCAGGTTCTGGACAGGGCCGAGAAGGGTCGGAAAGGTGCTCGAGTTGAAAGGAAGGTGGTGCTGGGCGCTGCATCCACAGGTTTGCTGTTCGAACTGATGTTTGTGTTCATAGATGTTTGCCAAGGTAGCCGTGCCATCATAGTGGCAGGTTTGGAGATCTCTGAAATGGGCAAGGGTATGATTGCCAGAGCTCCTCTTCCAGGTTTCTGTGCCATGCACATAGAAGCAGTTTCACTTTCAAGGCAGGAGCTAGTGTGCTAAAGCTGGGCCTTCCCGCAAGATCCCGTAAGAGAGGGCGAGCAGTATAAATGTAATCGATCAGAGGATTAAAGCGAAATATTTGGTCAACTATAACGTCAACGATCAACAAACTAATACTTAAACCCTTCTCTTTAAAAACATAGCGCTATCCCTCGAGTTGTGGAGGACAAAACCAAGCTATCTTTTTACAACTTTTTGCGTGCCAGGAGCAAGCTGTGAACGAAGGCGATGGCGATCTCCCTGGACCGGCTGTCGTGCGATTGCACCAGCTGCATCAGCTTGGACGGCTTGCAATGCTGCGCGATGAAGTCGCTACACGTCTGGTCCGCCTCCATGCAGCACAGCAGGATCACCATCACGCTCACTTGCTCTTCGGGCGTCTCGGACTCGAGGCACTGGAGGAGATACGGTGCAGCCCCCTCGGACACCTTGGCGATCGCGCAAAGGTCGAAAGAGACGAGCTGCTCCAAGAGAAAGATCGCCGCTGCTCTTGGAGCCCGGAGGGCCGGAGAGGTCCGATCCACCACAACCTGTTCCTGGAGGACTTCCACGAGCGCGGGGACGAGCTGGAGAGCCTCGAGCTCTGGCGAGGGGAGCTTGAGCAAGTAGAGAAGAACCACTGCCTGTGGAATCCTGCCTTGTTGGAGAGTCTTGCTCACCCATCCGAGACTTGGGTCGTAGTCTACTATCCGCCGCCGAACAGCCTCGTTGTTGTGGACGAACTCGGTTAGCAGGCAAACCGCTGTTCTTTGCGTTTGCAGGGACTTGGACGTAACCATGAACTCCATCATGACATCGATGACTACCGGCTTGGTCAAGAAGGCTTCGAGACGAGGATTGCCTTTGGATTCCATCCAGACGCGGGCAATGACTGGAACAACTTGCTCGCAATCTTGGAGGTTCTCGACGGAACACAACGTTACAACGGCTTTCCTCAGATCCTCCATATTCTTCGAAGTATCAAGCTTTATCGGTGTCTCGGCCAGCGGTATCTTTTTGTCCGTAGAAATTTCCGTAGACGAGAAAGGCGAGGATTGGCTGCATGAAAGCAATACTGGTGTTATCCTCAAGGGACAGACGGGAAAGTAGAAGAAAAACTGCTCACCTCACAGTCGAATAGGCTGGTGATCCATTGTCCTACAGAACCGTATATATATTGAGAAAAGAAAAATGCCAAGTTGCCAAACATACCATTTCACTTCCGGACCGTACTCTCCAAGAGCCAAGTTCATTACCGTTCGACATTGATGGCTTCTTTGTCTGAAACGATAACGTTTATTCAGCGGGAATGATCTAGATTTAGTTAGGTACCTCCTTCGGTGTTGTCGGAGATTCCATAATATTTCCAATACTCGGGCAAACGTTTTCCTTCGCCTTCGTTTTGTTTCTACAAAAAGAAAGAGAACGAGAGAGAGTAAGCTTAGCCAGCAGAAACTTGAAAAGCCTTACCGTTCAGACGGTGCCACCAAATTGCTCCTTGATAAAAACTCTCGCTGCACGTATTGAAGCCGAATTTGAGGAGTTTTCACGGACGGGAACTTCAAGGTGCCGCCTTTGCGGTGTTGAGAGATCGCATACTGATAAAAACCCGCAAAAGCCTTCGTGTTCTCGTCCAGAGATTCCTGATAAAGACTCCTGAGAACATGTAGTTTTTCCTCACGCTCAAGGCACAGCTGGTCCAGAGGTCCCGATCGAACACTAGACGGGTGAAGCTGATGCCAAAAGCCTTTCAAGTCTGTATACAGCGCCTCAATAGAATAAGACGACTGCCGTGGAGAAATCTTTCCGGAGGAAGGCACCTTCTGTGTCGACGGATTTCCGGTCTCCTTGCTATACCACTCCTCCAACTTGGAAAACCGAGGGAGAAATAACTGCTTCCAGAGGGTGGGAGCGAACTCACTTCGCGAGATGCGAGGACCAACGTTGAACATCTGGAGGATGTGCCAAGCCACTTTGTAAGGATTGTGTCGCACCAGCCAGACCAGAGCCAGGTACAAGTGTGCCGACGCCGAGACGAAAGAATTCCGAGACCTTCCCAGCAGCTTGAGGTACCTGACTGCTCGCTCGAGCTCTTCACCGTGGACATCCTTCACAGAAAGGACGGCCTTTTCGAAACCATCGACAGCCCAGCTGAGATTCGCGTGCTCGGCGTGTTCATGGTAGCTACCATTGGCCGCGTTCTGCCTCGCGAGATGCTTGAGCCACTCACGGTCTTGCGAATTCCTGAGAAGGGTCTTGGCGTAACCATTCGCGATCAAGACCACTGCTTTCAGCAACGCTGCACCGTCTCGGAGCTTCCCATTCTCGACGATGGATTCGTGAGACAATCTCTCTCGTAGAGGAGCCATCGTGAATCTGGAAAAAAAAAAAGGCAGAGAGAAGAGAGAAAATTCAGCTAAGAATGGTGAAGAGAATTGCGAGAGACTTACAATTGGTTGAGACTTGAAATCGCGGTCCGGGTTCCCACCAATCGCTCGACCTGGTAGAAGAAGAAAGGATCAGGCCAACGAAATCTAGCGATTTCCCTCCAGATTCAAACCGGAGATAAAGAAACAAGGGAAAGCAAACAAGAGCGTAAAAAAATCACGCACAGGGCCTCAGCCGGTCAGGATTCCCGTGACAAGAATCTAGGTTTCCTCAACCAAGATCCCTGATTTCTAATGGCGACGAAACGGATTCTTCCGCGCACGTTACGTACCTCCGCCGCCAGCGTCGCCTTGCCCGTGCCAGCGCCGCCATCGTCATGGCTTCCTCAACGCTCGCCCGTCCTAGCTAGAAAATATAAACAAGAAACCAAAATAGGGTTCTTCCACAAAATGGCGGGAAAAGTTCGAAACCAAGCATATCCACAACACTGCACAGAGAATATTCTTTTTTCAAAGCTGGAAGGTTGACAGGATCCATCCTCTCGCGGCAGACTGCGCAAATGGAATGTAGCTGAGACTATACCTGGAAAAAAAAACCAAGAAGAAAACGATGATGGTTTCAAACAATCAACATTGTCACTGGATTTTTTATTTACCAGAGGAGAGCGAACGCCTGGATGATGATGGATAAGATCGTGAGCAATCGATCGTGGAGCTGGAAGAAAGGAAAAAATAAATTTGGAGTGTTAGTAGAGAACCTTCCAGCGATGGAAGAAAAAATCAAAGCAATCTAGTGATTTTACATGGAGAGCACAGAAGAGGGCTAGGAAGATACTGAAAATGTAGATGGCGGTGGAAAGAATGCGCACGGGATCAAACATCATGTCCAGTTGCTTCCTTGGTCCGACCAAAAATCCTGTACTGGTGGAGACATTTCACGAGCAAAAAAATAAAATAAATGAGTGAGAGAGCTCAAGCTAAAGTTTCTAGAACAAGCTCAATCAAACTGGAGAGAAAGATCGAAGTATAAGAATGAATTAGAGGAGGAGAGTGGAAAGATCAACAAGGAGTGAAGATCACTAGAAAATGAAGAAGTGAAGATCACTAGAAGAGAGGAGTAGAAAGATCCACAAGGAGTGAAGATCACTAAAAGAGGAGTGGAAAGATCCACAAGGAGTGAAGATTACTAGAAGGAAAGAGTGAGCAAAAGAACAAACCTTCCCAAAGACAAGAGATTGCCAATGGTGAAAGTGATAGCAAACTTCGTAGGCCGGAAGAACACCAGAGAAGACTGGAAGAAAAAGTTCAAAAAGTTTTAGCTTTGATCGATCAAACTAGATAGAGATTACCAGGAAGGAGCAGAAGATTCCCAGGCTCAGGCACGCTACAAACCCATACGCTCGCTGCGATCAATCGATCAATCGGTTTGAAGCTGTGACGAGGAATGGATCAATCGATCGCACAGCGAATCCATACCTGGCGCGCCGTGAGCTTCCATCCCTGCTCGAATGTCGGAATGAGCGATTCTTCCTCGTCCGGGAGCTCCTCATCCGCCGGGAAGCCGACGAAGTTCCTGAGCCTGCCCACAGCGCTACTCACTCTGTCCATGGAAAAATGGGAAGAACCCTAAAATACAGTAGCCAAAAGCTATGGCGTGGCGCCTTCTCGTGAGCGATGGCGCTGTGCAACCACTGGATCCAGGACACGCAGCGTCTTTCCTCAAGACGAAGCCGCAAGGTCAGTGATTCGACGGATCGCTCCATCGATCGATCTTGGGAAATGTGTTTCTCTTTCTCGTTCCATTCCAATGCAGGCGCATACACGACGACCAGGACAGTGGATGGAGCTTCGTGCTTGCTTCTATGGGAGAGGCATCTCGCGCGGCTCGCGCAATCCTTGCATATCATGCGGAAGAAGGCAATCGATCAAAGAGCTCTCACGAAACTGGTGAATCCATCGCTTTATGCTGGATTGGAGGAAGCGCTGGCGAGAAGATCCGATGAAGAGGAGCTCGTTGTGACTGTTCTTGCTTGTAATAAGGATGAGGTACGTGAAAGAAAGAACAAAGGTTTAGAGGTTTTTCTTTTTCTTCCAGGGACCACTGCAAATATCTGTTCATATCACTGGCCTCGTCCCGGCTTCCACTGTTCCAGCACAAGTTTCTGTCATGGGTCCTAGTCGTGAAACTCCTCTTGCAAAATCTTCGCAGTGGGTCAGGTAAGAGCTCTCTATAATTTCCTTGAAAAGCATAAGCTTGCCATTCTTTCTCTCGCAGGACACGGCAAGTTTTGGAGCAATGCATGCCCAAGAACACTGCCGAAGTGATTCTCTCGAACGATGGACGGCATTTGCTCGAGGGACTCGTGACGAACTTCTTCGTTGTCTTGAGCACGTAAGTCTGTTTCTCTGGGTTGATGTTCTTTTCTAAGATTTTCTCTTGCTATAGTTTCCAGTGTCGGTGAAGGGTCGAGATCCGTCGTCCAGACAGCAGCGCTTGGGAATGGCGTGCTACCCGGGACGGTCAGACAGCTTGTCATCGAGTAATAATTCGAAGTTTTGTCGAACTCACCCAAGCTCCTGTGTTTTCTGTTCTTTCAACTCTAGAATTTGCTCGGAGAAGAACATTCCGGTTCTCGAAGGCTCACCATCTTGGGACGAGCGCTACCTCTGGAAAGAAGCGTTTGTGACGAGTAAGAATCTCGCTGTATTTTCCGAGTTTTCACGTCCTTCCTTTGTATCAGGCAGCGTGAGACTGATCCAACCTGTGAGCAAAATCCAAATGCCAATGCCATGGAACGCAAGCTTCGATCCGGCGCAGTGGAATCCAAACCACTGGGATACTTTATCTCTCAAGGTAGAGCTTTTCCACGCAAAACTTCCTTGTGCTACTAACATTGTTCTCTTTTTTCAACTCTCAGGCTCCCGGCAGCGTCACAAAGATACTACAGGTCTGTAATCTTGTTCTTGAAGAAAAAGTTGTTGCATTTTTTCATGTTTTAAAAGAAGTTCTACAGAAGGAAGTGCTCGCGCGGGCAAAGTACCATGGCAGCTATGTCAGTAACTTAATCCCAGGAGCTTAATTACTGATTTAGGGGCTAGATGCTATCAGTTTCTTTGTATATGTAGTTTGTTCATATACAAGATCACAGTTCTTGTGTGCCGTTTCATAGTGATTGGTATAAGATGTACTTATAGTATGAGAAATGATGAGAAGGTACTGGACTTGGCGATGGGACGGAAGCCGAAATGCAAAGACGAGCTTGCAAAAGCAGGATTTGTTGCAAAGAAGTTGGAGGGCACGACTTGTCGTGACTGTCCTGACGTTTGTCACTCTTTGCCAGGTAATTCTTGGAACTTCGAAGTAGTTCCCTGGAGAAATTGAAGGGTGTTCTTGCGTTTAGTTATGATGAGAATTCGGCCTGAATATAATGGTTTCTTCCAGGACCTTTAGCTTCACGCTCTTGGCTGCACCCACAAAGAGTTAAATGGCCAGAATGTTCTTTAGCGTTTGACGACGAATTCTGCAATGATTGGTTCACGAGTAAGCCTGTTCCCGCCCAAATGGCGTAAGCCCGTGCCCATGAACCACTTTAAGGGGCGACTTCGTTAGCTATTATCCTAAAAGTCATATAATTTTTTTGATTTGATTAAGAAAACCGGGGATTATATTTAGAATATATTTAAATATTCTAGGATATTCTATTATCTAACGGTTGTTATTCATTTAGATTAATCTAATTTATAAACATGTTTATAATTTATAACTTTCTTAACCCTTTGTAGTATATCTTTTTATTCTATCATTTATGCAATAAGATAATCTTGGTTTTTAAA